TGCTTCAGTCAAGATTTACAGCCCTGGAAACGCTATGCAGCGTCACAATGAGTTGGAGCCAGACTTGATGGCCCACACCTATCACCACCACCAATATCACACTTAATGATAAAAGAACGCATGCTTTTCCTCAAAGATTAGGAATAAGATAAATGTCTGCTCTCATTATTTCTATTCAGAACTGTAACTGAAATACTTACTAACCTGTAAAAATTTCAGACGTTATTCTATTTATTTATATTATCTAACAAAAGGATTCCTGCTAGCATAGTGATTACATTGGACTGTTAACCTCAAGATCAGCAGTTCAAATCTACCATTCACTCCATGGGAGAAAGATGAATCTTTCTGCTCCAAGTAAAGATTTATAGTCTCAGAAATCCTATACAGGGTTGCTATGAATCAGGAATGACTCAACAGCACACAACCACCACCACAAGTTAAACAAAAAAAACTAATCTGTTGTTGGCAAGTTGACTCTGAATCCTAGTGATCCTGTAGAACTGACCCATAGGATTGCCAAGGATCAAATATTTACAGAAGCAGATTGCCTCATGCATCTCCCATGGATCAGCTAGTGGGTTCGAACCACCAACCTTACACCCTCGGAAACCCTGTACAGGGTCGCTATGGGTCGGACCCGACTCAATGGCACTTAACAACAACAACAACTTAACCACTGAACTTCCAAGGCTCTTTACTTACAAGCCAGCAAACAGTCACAGTTCATCGACTCTCCTTTGCCCCCAAAGCCCCACAAGATGACATGGAAGACCCATCAAAAACAAATTGGAAATAAGAATTTAAAGTACAATATATTTATGTTGTTGTGGTTGTTTAGTGCCATCATGTCGGTTGCAACTCATAGGGACCCTGTATAGGGTTTCCAAGAAGCAGCTGGTGGATGTGAACCGACGACCTTGCGGTTCACACTGACCTTGCAGTCTGGTACTTTATTCTACAGCATGATACCAAGATTCCACAGTAGTTTCATAATTGTTGTTGAGTGCCATCAAGTTGGTTCAGACTTACAGCTAGTTTTCCAAGCCTGTAAATCCTTGTGGGAGCAGATAACCTCATCTTTCTCCTGTGGAGTGGTCTGGTGTGCTTAACCCACCAATCTTGTGGCTTGCAGTTCAGTGTTTATCCAAAGCCACTATTCTCCCCATATTTAGAACAGTATCACAAATATGGAATATAAGAACAAAGCTGATAAAAGATGTGTAGACCCTGCACACTGAAAGCTATCACAAAACACAAATTTATCTATA